AATGTGAATTAGATCTTTATAGCGTTGATAAGAAATCCAAATTCATAATTTCTTGTTGTGTCTTGCACAATTTATGCATTGACAACGACGATGACTTTACTTTCGATATTGATGTATCCTCATGATCAGATAATGAAGAATCTAATAGTGAAAATGAAGGAGAGCAGGAAGCTTTATTCTGGAGATTGTGTGGGAGAAATGAAAAGGGATCAGTTGTGTTAAATATACTTTTCCAATGAAAAGAAACAACAATAATAATTTAATTACAACAATTTAATTACATATTACATATTTATATATTTATCATATTAAAACTGTATATTTGTCATCCTTTGTGAACATTCAGGTTATAACCTCGTTATATATAAATATATAAGATTATAACAAATATTTGATTGTGTATACTAAATAATGCAGTAGTCGAAAATATTTTAATACACTAAGTAATATGTTAAAAAATTTAGTTATCACAATAATAATGTACTTCAGCATTGCAGTATAATTTTACTAACTATATCAGATTTTGATAGAGTATTATAAAATAAATAAACTCTTTATATTAAATAATAATAAAAAAAATAACTTTTTCCTTTAACAATGAAATTTTTTGCTAAGGGTAATAATATATCAGTCGTACAAAGAAAATTATTTATACGTATGTTTAAACTAATGTAACAAACAAAATTCTTAATAAAAAAAGTCCAATATCTTACAGAAACTTACTGTAATTTACTTTAACATACTTTAATATAGGAACTTTCATATATAGTTCTAATATCACACCAATGACTATGTTTAGTTCCTTTTTTATTTTTTATTACTTTATTACTGTATTACTCTGTATTCGGTTTACCGAACAACTCGCGTACCAGGTCTAACTTTTCCTTATGTTGCTTTCCCTTTGCGGCTTCTTTTTTTTTTTTTAAATAATTCCATCTTTATATCTTCATTAGTCCGCCTAGACTTTTTTGCCTTCGGCGAGCCATGGAGCATGCTTTGCAAGGTTAATGCTGCAGATTTCTTCCGGAATTTTAGGTACATTGAATTTAGGATATCTCACACTTCTGACACTTTGCAATACCTCTGGTTCGATGCTGTCATCTGAATGTGCAATTTTCCGCAATTCCTCTTCAAATGGTTTTTCTGTGGAACTACCTGATTTACAATTATTCTCTATGGCTTTCTACTTTCTTTTCAAGACGGTCTTGTACCGATTTTCAATTTGTAGAGAAGTTTTAGAGATGTTTAACATTTTCATCATATCTCTGGATATTTGTGACCACATGAGTTTTTTAGTTTTAAATTTCTTCATTGGACCAACATCGAATAAATACGTTTCGTATTTGTCGAGGATAGCGGCCGCATTAGTCCAGTAATCTAAATATTATAAAATTTGCATATTAATATAATAACGAATATTGTAGAACTAGGATCATAAAATCTACTAATTGTTGAACAGCATGGAATTAGTCTTATTAATATATCGCATTTTATGCAATACTGTAACAAACATAAAGAGAAAAGAAAATCGAAAATGAACATTTTATAATGATATATCAAATGTACTACATTTTAAATATATTTTCTACCTTTTTATCAAAATTATGGTAAAAACTTTTAATTCGAATTTTAAAATTAACGCATATCTTGTTTCATATGTTGTTGCAGTATTGTCATATGTATTGTGCTGAAATACTAGAAAAGCTGTATTCAACTGTATTTACCAGTACTCTTTTGACTACAATCCTGTGATTCAAATATTATTATATAATTTGTTGCATCAGTTTCTTTATCACACTCTGCTAATTACTGATTATTATTCCGTCCCAGATTGTAGATATTAGCGTGGTACATTATTTCTTCTCTGCAATTAAAAATATACAGATATTTTTACATTTTCTTACTATCTTGTTTTTAAGGAAATTTTTTATGCAACTCACACTCATTTATGTTTCCTAATTACGCCGTTTCAACAACATCTATGTATATTCTACTTTCTATTTATTTCCAATAACATGATATATTTCTCTAATTTCCATTTATGACAAACAATCCATTTCGGATAAGGAGTTTTATACATATATTGTATGCTGTAGGCATCATCATCTGTAAAAATGATACATATAGAGAAATCTATTACATAATTTTCTTTTACGCTTAAAATATAAAAAAATGTGTTTCACAAGCTGGAATACAATAATTAATTGTACACAAATGATATAGGTCATTCTAGGACAAACGCTCGAAGATCTTTTTATGCATAAGTGCAGTTAACGCCACATTCAAAATGCAGTAAATATAATTATTGTAATATATTTTCAAACTGTATAAAGTGAACCTTAAGATGTATGTTTCTTATACTGCATTGTTTTCCTAAAATAAAATTCTCATCAACATTTTTTTCCAATTTTTGCGCTGGAATAACCTCAAAAACAAAGATCAGATATATTATGTATTATACATACTTACTCTTTAATTTTTCATATAAATCAGGTTCAATCGAATCAAGGGTTAGTTTCAGTATGTCATTATTGACTTTAAAATTAATACTGAATCCTTCCATAACGAATAGGTATTTAAAATATAACAAAAGTGCACTACAATCGTATCGAGATCGACAATTCGACCATAGACATAGTATAGATAGACCGAGCATGCGGCGGGAGACATGGCAGTCACGTGCAAGAAGAAGGGAATACAAATTAGATTTTTCGTTCTTTCTCTAACACAAGAAAGTGGGAGTATGATGCAGCCCCATTGTGTTTTCTCCTTCTCGCACGCGCTAGCCATCGATATTCTTGTCTGGCATATGGCAATGCTCGGTCTATCTATACTATGTCTATGAATTCAACATACGTGTTTAGCTGGGAATGCAAGAAACTTGCACTTTCGATAACCTCGTGCAGTGCTGCTGACACCATGAGTTTTTGGTGCGGCGCAGTGAAATATGCTATTAAGCTGATTTTTCATGTGCAGCACGCTGCGGCAGCAAAATGTTATTATTGGTTAAAAATCTTTTGTGAGGTGACGCACTGTGACGTACTTCCAATCAGTTCTCGAAAATTTGTATCACATAACATTTTGCTGCCGCAGCGTGCTGCACATGAAAAATCAGCTTTAGTTGATCCAAACGTTTAGTGTGCTGCGACTTATGTAGACGGGACTTAATGCATCGTGTTCACGATTCTAGAATTCGATCCAAATTCTTGGATCGAGAAAGCCATTTTTCAATAAAAATTATATATTGACTGGCTGCACATTTCGGAATACGAGAACTCGGACAAAGTTCTATCTTCGTAGACACAGACTTAAAGCATTAACAAATCACATTTGAAGTTTTTGGTCATATGACCAATGTGATTGGTCAATTCTTTCTTTATTTGAGATCTTGGATCGGATTTCTAGATCATGAACACAGGATACAAGTTAAACATCCGTTATCTGTGGTTACCTTATGGCACATTCGATACACATGCATTGATACGATTCTAGTGCTGCCCTGACACGATATTACCCTGATATGGTACTGCGTTGACATAGTTCTGCTCTGACACGGTGCGAGTGCAAAACTACACTGGATTAATTGATTTAACCTGGCTTGGTGCAGCATTAAGGACCAATACTTTTAGTAAACAAGTTGCGCATTGAGGGGTCAATTCCCCTTGCCGCTCAGCATCACACCGCTTAAGGAAAATAGAAGTTTCGAGAATCAAACAGAAGATTCTAGAAACTGAAATTCATGATGTAATTTCCGGAAAGGACAATCCCCCTTGTCCGCGCGGGGGTCACTCCTTTATCTGTATATAAACTGCGGTTCCTGAAAGGAACGACACTTCTTCGCGTAAATTTTCACTCAGTAGTATTTCCGATTTCGCTATTAAGGCTTAGCGTGAATTTTTACTTCGTATTAGATTTCATTTCTCGGTAAATTGCACTTGTAAAATTTCGCTTCGTGATATTGTATTAATATTTCTTGTTAAACTCATGCGTAATAGTATTTGGCTTTGTTCAATATTAAATTTTAATTATTAATTTATAATCGATTAAAGCTACCTTCTTATATTAAATTTCCGCCGTCGTTCGTTTTTGTTATATTAAAAGAATAATTAAAATATATACACTGAATACATCAGATTCTATAGTCGATCGTCTCTTCAATTTTTTTTTATTTCTCTTTTCTTTCATACTTCGAGTCTCCTTTTCGGACAAGGACAGCAAAAGAGTGATCGAGTGCGGGATCAGTGCCGGGAGTGCGGACGCATTAGTGAAATCGAGTGCCGTTATCGAAGTCGCGGCGTGTACCTTTCACCCTTGGCAGCGGTTGACCGCTGCCCTTTCTTTCACTCTCAAGCTCCGTCCCCAGGGAGCACTCTTTAGGTACTACGGGGACATCCTGTCACTCGGCCGTGTAGGCCTCTAAATAGGCTCTCTAGCGGTCTTCCTTGAGCGAGGAGCAAGGGCCTCCTGTAGAGACTCTACCTCTGCTCATTCCCGGCATCTGTCTCCCCGCGTTGACCTTCGGTGGCTGCATCGCCACCCCCGCTCTCGGGCATCTCGCGCCCGATCTCAGAAATAGGGAAGAACCCTGAAATCTAATCATGTTTCAGGGAAAATATCATAATGCGCAGGAGGGGAGCGGGAAGAGAGCGAGCGCTCCGCGCACTCGTTAGAGAGTACCATACGGCATGAAAATTTGACCTGCAGGTATTCGCGGACCCGCTCACCGTGGTGTTATCGCCTCCTTACCACTCGGTGCCGGGAAATCACGGGGGTCCAATAACCGCCCCCACGAGTCGCCCCCGAGTTACGAGGACCCGACGTAGGGATCTCGTGGCCGCGATCCGCATACCGCACACGTGGCCGCCTCAGTCGCTCCGCGGCCCCGTGGCCGACTCCGGATACGGGAGTTCGCCCTCGTCATCGGGCCGGTCAAGTTCGTTCTAAAAAAGGAAGAAGAGGCGCTCACGCTCCGCGAGGCACCTCAAGGTACTATCCCGAAGCTTGCCCTTTTCATACTTTATCCGCGCCCGCGTCTGGTCGCCTCCAGGACGAACGTAACACTCTACTTCTTCTAATAGCGAACCTGAAAGTATAATAAATTTAACAAATAATCTAGAATCATTATGTAAAATTAAGGAATCAGATACTCTATTTACTAACCGCAACGATAATCTAATAATTTTCTTAACTACTACATAATTACCTTGTGATAAAGGCACTCAAGAATTAATAGATAAAAAAAAATTGCCTCCTGAAGACAATTTAATGTTGGGAAGAACTCAAGTAGTAACCTCCTTCTTTCCGGATCGTCATATCATTGCTTTAATTATAACAGAACGACTTAGCGTTAAGCTCGACAATAATATTCTTTTAGAATGCTTTTCAACTTTGCTTGACGTAGCTACTGAATTAAATTTATATACACTTTTAGTATAATAAAAAGCGAGCAAATTGACTCCATTACCTGGAATTACATTTTGAAGCATCTTCGTAAAACCTTTTTTGAACGACCAGTAATAATCTCTGTTTGTCATGGTGTAATAATGACTCCTCTAGTGGAAGAAAGAATTAAAATTATAACTGCCCCAGTGAGAAATGACAATGGAATGGACATCGATTCGATGTATAACAATGTTATTTATCAAAATGAATTAAATAAATTATAACTATTTTGTAATAGTTAACAAAATAATTATAATTAATTTATTTTGATAAATAACAAAACTCACTCGCGATCCATGTTCACTTTAATTACGGCGTACACCGAGTGACAAGTGTTCTTCTTCTTTTTCCTAATTTAATGGCACTCGTCGGCGAACGCCAACGATACGGCCAGTATCAAATGTGACGACTTGTAAACAATGAGAAAAAATGCAGAAATTAATTGTACATCTCATCTGTTCAGAATAATTTTACACGAAAATGACGTATTTCCATCATAATACCGAATTGCCATCTTTTGCTCTATATAAAATTATCTCGGAACTTCATAGAATTTTCCAGCAGTTTTTCCCACTCCTCGAATTAACGGCTTATGCAGTAAGACGGTCGTTTGTAAGAACCGGAAGCCAACTTTACCTCTTGCTGTCTAACTGGTATCTCCGTTCCATCATAGTTCTGACGTGCGTTTCACTTGGAAAATGTGACAATTCAATGTCGCCCGCGCACCAAACTCGCGGAATCTCTGCGATCACTGATGTATTTTTGACGCATTGGCTTTGTCGGCTTGTAGTACTATGATGTCTGTGTCCAAGGACGACAAGTTTAATTCTTGTAATGCAAGTCATTCTTGTATGGTGATTTTGGGCTTAGCCTTATGGAGTGTATTAGCCGAACACATTTATTTTCTCGACGGCGTGTACTTACACACTCTGTTTGGTATTCACAGTTGGAGTTGTTATATTTAAAAGGTTTTCATATTCCCTGAAGGTATGTGTAGCGAATGCGGTAGGATGTTTTCCCCTTTCCCCGCAATCAAGTCTATCGGTAGTTTTCGCCGAAATCGTCTGGGAAATCGGTCTGAGAAGGGTATCAGGTTTATGTTTTTGGCAGACCGTACAATCTCTTGGTGGAAGAGAATCAGTAGGTTTCGAAGTGGTTTTGCTAGGTAGGCCACACTTTCTTAATAGGATGCTAGGTTTTCGAACGATCTTGTTTGATGGGTCTCTATCAAACCTTTTGTATGTTTCATCCGAAAGGAAGAGCTCCATGGTTCTGTAGTCTGATGTATTGTTGATATATTGGCTTTGTCGGCTTGTAGTACTATGATGTCTGTGTCCAAGGACGACAAGTTTATTTCTTGTAATGCAAGTCGTTCTTGTATGGTGATTTTGGACGTTGGAGACTTAGTCTTATGGAGTGTATTAGCCGAACACATTTATTTTCTCGACAGCGTGTACTTACACACTCCGTTTGGTATTCACAGTTGGAGCTGTTATATTTAAAAGGTTTTCATGTTCCCTGAAGGTACGCGTAGCGAATGCGGTAGGGTGTGTTTTCCCTTTTCCCCACAGTCAAA